CCAGTTGTCGGCTCTGCGTTCTCGAGATAACTCAAAATAAGTGCGATCCTTATATAGTCGTCGCGAGGGGTTGAAGCTAGGTTGATCCAGCAGGAGTTTGATCACGGGAAGATTACCTCTCCCGATCGCGGCCAGCATAGGCGTGTTGTATCCGAACTTGTGGGAGCCGCCCTGGACCGGATCCGGGTCGGGATCCGCATCTCCCATTCCCAGTAAAAGAGACAAGACTTCATCATGACCGCCCTTGGCCGCTGCAATCATTGACTCAGCATCTGCCCGCTGGCCGACATTGAGAATGTTAGCAACACCAGCAATGTCGCCCTTGGCGGCAAAGGCTTGTAAATTCTCTGGCGTAGCTTTGGTCCATAGAAGATCATTCCGAGTGGCCTCACTTCTGACGCTCTTGCGCTTGTTCGTACTGGCAAAGTATGGCGGACTGCGTTGTCCGTTAACGGGGGGTGATTCTCGAGGGCTAGCCACCGTCACTCGCCGCGAAGACGTCTCCCTAGTGCCAGATCCAGTCCGCTCTTCGGAACGACGGCTTGGGCGTGGATGCGCTTTTGCCTCCTCCAAGACACGGCGAATCTCATCGTAATCTTCCGAGTCCGACGGAATGAGATCGCTCGGCTCATCGCCTTCAGCATTGACGGAACGGGGATTCGCCCCAGCCTGGAGTAACAACTTGACGACATCGAGATGGCCATTTTCAACGGCATCTATCAACGGAGTATCGCGATCAATATTTCGGGTCTCAACTTCACATCCGGCTTCGAGGAGAAACTTGACAATAGACGCGCATCCTTCCAAGGCGGCGATTTGAAGCGGCGTGTTACCAGCATTGTCGGCAACATTAAGGTCCTCCGGTCGTTCTGCATGTCGAGCAATTGCCGCCTCAAGTTCCTGTGCAGCACATGCACGAGCGAGGCGCGTGCGTCCATTCTGATCGCGTTGCTTTTTGTGACCCGTGGGTCTGGCAGGGGACGCAGACGCCCCATCGACAGAGGCCAACTTTCGAATGTGAGTACTGGGCATAGGGGATCCGCTGGTGGAGGAAGACACCGACTGCCGGTCTTCAGAACTTTGCCTTTGCACGCCAGGAAGAAGCGGGGTAGGAGCTTTCCGCTTCCGCTGCAAATCGCTACCCAGCTGGTGACCAGAAGCTGTTCTCTTGTGCGAACGGACGGGGGATATGGAACGGTCGATTGACGCGGGGCGGGGCAACATCACACCATTCAGCTCTCGTCGTTCTCGATCCCGGGAAGGAGCTGGGTGGTGCGGGCGGGCGTTTCGACGGGCATCTCCCTCTCCATCGACACTTTCACTAAAGCTGCGTTTTCTCGACATCCTGGGAGCAGAAGATGCAGGGTGCGATGACTCGAGTCGACTCGAAACAGATTGGGGCTCATCGGTCTTTTCGACTTTCACATGGGGTGGAGACCCAGTCCGACGGAGAGGACTCGTCGGGCGCACATGACGGTCGCGTTCACTGACAACATCGCCATCCACTAACTTTCTCTTTCTCACTTTCAAGTCGTGGGGAGGGAGGTCGCTCTCTGCAGCATCAACATGGTCGTTTCCATCATCACGTCGTTTCGGTTCATGTTTTATGTACTTCCGTCTCTTTTCAGGCGATAATGATTCACGGCCCGATTGGATTATGGTTTCTGCCTCCGAGTCAGCCTTGGGGCTAGGGGGCCCATCGCTGTCCCCGACAGCAGGGTCTACCTCTTTTAGCGGACGATACTCCCTCCGAGGCACCGGTGAGAGGGCTCTCTTGGGAGATAGCGGACCCGAGGTAGACTGGTGGTTCACCTTGGCAGCAAGACCGTTTTGTCCGGCATCCAGGGAAGCTGGCAGGGAGGAGACAGCCTCGACATCACTCATAGCGGTAGCACTCGATTTCTGGGGGTTCTGCTCGTCATCTTCGGGGGCCGTGGCGGACAGGTAGACCCGTGGTCAAATACACCAGCAGATGCGCGCGAAAGCTGGTGCTAGACCACGCTTGATTTGAACTCGGTGGGTTGGGTACTCTCTTCTAGACAGTTTAAAAAATCGTGGACGAGCAAAGAGCGTAGGCGAACAGCAGGGCGGACCCAATAATCCGAATTAAGAGAGCGAAGCGAAATAGAGGCGAGGAAGGTAGTGGTGACGGTGATGAAGAGAAGAACGAGGCGACAGGACGTGAACGTGGAGGGGTTAATACGGTCGGCAAAGGGAGAAAAAGGTCCGATTGAGGTCGATGAGGGGAACGGAAGGAGGAATGAGAGAAGTTGAGCGAATTGAAGAGGGGGGGGAGTAATTTAGAAGGGGAAGCAGAAGGTGAAGGAAGAGAAAGGATTAATTGGGAGGAGAGTTGTTAAGAAGAGGGAGAAGATGGAGCGGGCGAAGTTCGCTGGGGGGGGGGGGGGGTGTGGGAGAGAGGAGGGAGGGAAATTACGCAGGTAAATGGGTTACTGGTAAGAAAGACGAGTTCGCCGTCGAGAGCAGTTTAGCTGGTCATTAGCGGGTTGGGCTAGTCAGTGAGTGGTTGCGACTAGCTGAGATTCAGGCAATCTTCTATTAGGTCATCGCCCTTCAGGATCATAACAGATATGATCAAGGGTAAAAATGAGGCTAGTTTGATTCGAAGTGGATGCGATGGTCAATGAGTATGATGATGTTGATACTATTGATGCTGTCGATAATGCTCGTATGCTAATAATAATTGTCGATGATGCTGATTGCCAGTGGTAATATTGACTCATTCTGGATTGGGGTAATTACGAGCGATTACCGATGATTACCGATTATCAGTGCAGTTCGTCAGTCTCGCCCCCAGAATATTAACTGACTAACTTACCACCGATGCTTTTGCCATTTGGCCACCGCAGCATTATCAGCTTGGAGCAGCTGCTTGCTAGTCCGCCATCGAAAGTGACTATGGGTGAATGTGGAGAGGAGTCATCGATAATCTTACAACTTGTATGGAGGGAGTGAGAGTGCGAGTGCAGTGGATGAGTGGGATGAATGAATTAAGAATGATCAAGGAAAGCAAGAGGTCACGATCCTCCTTCTTGAATCCCACCACTACCGCAATTACCAGGTCTTCCCGGCGTAGAAGCCAGAGTTACCATCCGATTTACAGTACCGGACATACAAGACGGAGGCAGAGGTAGAGTCGCAGTACGAAGAATACAGTAAGACAGAAGTTGGTAGGTAAGTAAGTAAGGTAAGGTAGCATTCATTGATTGATCGAAACCGACCGGACGAGTCCAGCTGCAGCCGCAACATCCATTCATCCATTCATCCATCCATTTTTCTTCGATTTGAACCAAGCCTGCGAGAAGGCCCAAAGAAAAGCGGGGGGAGGGGAAGGGGGAATGAGAAAAGAGAAGGAGGGGGCGGTCAAAGAAGAGAGGTAAGAGACAACAGAAGAGCGATAGAGGAGAGAACTGAACTAATAGAGAGGAGAGGATACAGTTGGTACAACACTCACAGTAGGAGACAGCAAGCAAGCAAGCAAGCAAGCATGGATGCAGTGGTGGCGGACTGGTCTGATTAAACGTCTGCCTTCTCGCTGCTTGCTGCTGCTGCTGCTGCTGCTTGCTTTCTTTTCTTAATTTTTCCTTTTTTTTTTCCTTTTATTCTTCCCTTTTATTCGACCTTGTCTGGCATTTTTGGCGGTTAGTATCCATTTTTTCCCTTTTTCTCTTTTTCTTTCCTTTTCTTTTCTTTTTTTCCATTTTTTAGCCTTGTCTGGGAGGGTCGGCGTTGCAGCGACTGAAACTCGGGCAAGCTCTGGAACGGAGGGTGGGAATGAGTGACGGATTGTGGCAGTTCCCTGGAAGCTGGCGTAGGCTATCAGGCTAGCCATCCGCTTGCCCCCCTGGGCTCCTCCAATGATTGACAGTGAGTAGCCCGCCGGTTGCCGCATGCGGATTAGAAGGTTTCGTCCTTCAGCGATCTTCTCCTCCTGGCAAGACCAGTCATTGTCCCTCTTTCTTCCGGCTTATCGCCCCGCTCATCTCACCCACTCTCACTGACGGCCTGAACTTGCTTTTCTCTTGTTTTCCAGTTTATTATTCTTTCTTTCTTTCTTTCTTTCTTTCTTTCTTTCTTTCTTTCTTTCTTTCTTTCTTTCGGTCCTTTCACTGGGCGGGATGACTCGCTTGGTCTTGTATAGATAGATGATCATTAGTCTGAACCCCATCCATGGAATTCGGATTTGCTTGTGCAGGAGCAAGAGAGAAGATACACAAAAAAGGAAAAAAAGGAAAAAAAGAAAAAAGGGTGTGAGAGCCACTAAAGCACCCAAGACATCAAAGATAGAGGAGGGGGGGCTCTCTTTACCCCTCCGTCAACAGCCGGCATCTGACGATCCGGAATGCTAGCAAAAAGAGCAGGACCCTTATTGATCGAGGTGAGGTCTGGTGGTGCAACGGTGGTGAATGGCGGATAGAGAGCATAGGAGAGAAGATCTTCCAGTTTGTTGTTGACACTCCCTATCTCGTCCCCGTATCCTGTAACATCCTTACCGAACCGACAATGTGGGCGGCATGTTTCATCCTCCGTACAGTCCGGAGGACAATCCTCGTAACTAAGGAGGCCGCTTTCTTCAACCCTTCATGCTCTCGGCCTCACTCACCTCCCTCATCTCCTCCCTCTTCACCTTTGACATCACGAGACCCTTACTGGATCAACCAAACGCCGAAATCCCTTCAGGTCCGACGGGTTTGCTTGTTTATAATTTACGACTGCTCATCTCACTCACCCCTTGACTGTGGAGTCTCGGTGTTTTTGTTCTCCACACTCGAGCTTTTGATTGTATAGCATCATCATGACAGGAACATTCGACTGCGTAAAGTACTGTGGTACCAGAGTGGTAAACCCGGTAACAAGCATTAATACCAGAGCCTCCCCCCGCGTCCCCGTCCCCGATTCTCCCCCAAGTCAGTCCCGTTTCCTCGTATAGTAAGTCAATAACTTGGAACCAAGACTGAAACCAAAACACACCACTGCACCAGCCAGATCGGCTCTAGACTGGACTCGAACCCTGTTTGTTATTGTTTATCGACCTTCTCTGATTCTTGTTCTTATTCCTGCCGGCCGAACTTCTTCTTCTTACTCCGTACTCCCCACCCACAGTCAATCTTCCTGCTCCGCGTCAGTGGCGGACACGCACCAGATACAACTACATAGTAACCGGTCGCAATGGACGTGCTCGCCGGTCTGGTGGATGCAGCGCTTGCCTCCACGCACATGGACGCTATCGATGCCCTTCGAATCTTCTTCATCCTCGCATCTTGTACGGTACGATCAGCCGAAGCATCCGAGAAGCCGATGCAGACAACTGTCGGAGACGATGCTGCACGCCCTGGACACGGTCCGTTGAGAATGAACTAAATTGAGAGACCTTAGATTCTGTCGGTCAGCGTGTTGCCGGACTCGTTGCACTCGCGCTTCGTTGTTTATGGCGCTCGTGCAACATCAACCGACTCGAAGCCCCCCTCTGCCCCAGCGTCCACAACCTCTGCCTCCTCCTCCTCTTCACCCTCGTCATCCCCAGCTACACGCATCCTCGACTACCTTGCCTCCCTGAGAGTCCCTCACAGCTACTTCACGCAATTCTATGTCGCTTCCGTGGCAGCCTCGGTCTTTTGGGGCGTGCAGCTCCTTTGCCGTGGCGCTGCGTTCCAGGCCTTCGCAACGAGGGTCAGCCCAGATCACCTGCAGAGGTCCATGACGATAAACCAAATCTTGCTGTGTTGGGTGTGCATGCTTCTCCAGGGGGTAAGGCGGTTATATGAGTGCTTCGTGTTCTCGAGGCCATCCGCGTCTCGAATGTGGTTCATTCACTGGCTTGTAGGCCTTGCTTTCTACCTGGGCATGTCCGTTGCGGTCTGGGCTGAAGGAGCAGGTACAGCAACCTCGCCACGCATGGCGCAACACAAGAGAGAAAGTCCCATTGATCATGCCACAGGCACGCTTCTGGCCCGCCCAATTGTCCTCGATGATGTGAAGGTCACCATAGCCCCTTCACTCCGCACCTTCATCTTCCTTCCGATTTTCCTGCTCGCATCAGGTCTCCAGCACGATGCTCACCACTATCTCTTCTCCCTAGAGAAGTATACCCTGCCGACTCACCCTCTATTCCACAGGCTTGTATGCCCGCACTATATGGCCGAGTGTGTCATCTACTTGTCCCTGGCATTCTTAGCCGCTCCGGAGGGGGAAACCATCAATAAGACGATTCTGGCGGCTCTGGCCTTTGTGGCCATCAACCTTGGCCTGACGACGGCCAACACCCGACGATGGTATATCCAGAAATTCGGCGGAAGTTCAATGCAAGGGAAGTGGAATATGATTCCGGGCGTATACTGATTCTAGGTTAAACGTCTGAGGTTCTCTGCAAACCCGGACTATCGTCTACTCAAGAATTTCATTGTGCTTCCCAGCTTCGCGACCTTGAGCACGTCACGATAAGTTAGACTGATCCTGGTTCCCCTTCGAGACCAGCCACATTCGTACCGTTCGGGCTCCCTCAGCAAGTCCCAATTGCAGATGGAGTCGGCACTGAGTTGCTCGTCCCTGTCGGTTTCCGCAATCCCATGCAGGAAGTCCGTGTAGATGTTGTCCGTGGTGACCAGCAGACTACGTCGCTCCTGCAGAATGCGATATCTTGGTTGGCGGTCCAGGCCGTCTTTTGTGTCGGCCGTGGGCTTGTCATACAGATCCAGCACAATCGGCGCGCCGAGGCTCACCGTAGCCACGAGCGGGTAATATGCCGCGCCGTCTTCATGCGGCATAATCCCTTGTCCGGGACAGTATTCGTTCACCAGGACATGGTTCGGGGTGCCGTGCGGGGCATCTCGGAAGATGTCGAGGGCATCGAACCGCGGGCTTACTATGGGCGAGACGAGCCAGGAGGGAAGCGGAGAGGCGACGAGCGTGTTGGTCTTGGTCAGAGCAGATGGCCAGGTCTGAAGGCGACGATGTGCGAGATGCGTCCAGCGCGGGAGGGGAGCGGTAATGATCTAAAGAAAATCGTAAATCATAACACGTAGCATATGAATTAGGTAAGGACTAAATATGTAACTATATTCAGGGACAAACCTTCTGAAGCAAAAAGGCTTCCTCCACCTCTGAGATGAAGTCCGCAATGTAGAATGCATCCGATGGCAATCGCTTGATGCGGGCCCTTTCGAGCTCCCCCATCTGGTTCAGGTACCGAGCACGCCCACCTGACACTTTGCCTTCTGTTTCAGGGACTCGACAACTTGCGGACACGGCTGTCACTGCATGAGAGCGATCGCATGTACGAGTACGAGTACGAAAAGCTCAATGCAGACAGAGAGTCGACGTATCCGAACAGAAACGTCCGACCTCCTAACCTAGTGCAGTGATTGGTTAGAATCCTCTTCTCTTCTGGGACTGACTCCTAAATCTACTCCTGGCACACTCGCCTTGTTGCTACTTTTAGCTTGCGGATGGAGGGGGGAACCGGAAACCCGAGAGCGGAGAGCAGAGTGGACTTCTTGAAAATAGAATAGATATGGAAGGCTGCAGGCTGCAGTGCAGCTTGGGTCTCTTTGTCTCGGGTCTCAGAGATAATGACTCTTACGGGTACTCTTCCCCTGGGGTCAGGTGATTCGATAGATGAGGCTGTGTGGCGGGTGGCACACGATGTCTTATTGACAATGGCTGACTCGATCTGCCAGTGGTGAACTGGACTCTCCAGGGAGGATGATGACATCATGATTTCTAACTTCGGTAGTATAGACACCTGCTGCAGAAGCTAAATCGAGCTTCTGGGTCTGCATTATCGTGTCAAGTTACTACTGGCCGGATGTTAATTGATCCAAGCTTGCATACCTACCTACTTGGCCGGATATACTGGTCCGGTTCTTCTGTGGTTCATGGGAACAAAGTAATGTCGTATGGGATATAGCCCTATCACATATTTCTGCATGTGGTCAGCTGTTTGGTGTCAGTCACGGCTCCTGGAATCTAAATAGTCGATTGTCTTTCGTGGTATATAGTAGAAGTGGATGGTGAATAGTCTTCTAGGGAAACATTTACATACTACGAATATATACCCGCCGACTCTCGAATCCGATCCCGAACAAGCACGGAAATCGAACCGAACAACAACACCATATGCAACCTGTACACATTACAAGATGCCCAATAGTCGATCAACCACTATCCCCAAGAGCCTCGGTCAAAATAGGTAGTCTACAGTATACACCCAGAAAACCTCTCGTCCATCAACCTCAACCTCCATATACCATACATACAGTAACATACCCCAAACCTCAGGCATCCAAACCCCCACATACTCACCTTGCTTCCCCACCACCACCACCTCAACTTCCAACGTTCCCATAAAAACAACCACAAACAACCTGCCTCATCCCCCCTCCACATCACCCCATCATACACCTCACTCACCACTTCCCCTCCCATAAACACCACCACCATGGGTAAAAACAAAGGCAGCAGCGGGGGCGGCGACAAGAAGGGCAAAGACAGCGGCGGCAGCGGCGGCGGCGACAAGAAAGGCCTCAAGCCGGCGACGGCCATCAACGTGCGGCATATTCTTGTACGTATTGACTCTTTATCCGTCCGTTTGTAGCTCTTATCGGGGCAAAAAAAGGGGGTAGTAGGGTAGTAGCCATTACCCACACCCTACATCCCACACCCCGCACCCTATCTTGCTAGTTGGATATGTGCACACAAGGAAGAAGGAATAGGCTCTTAATACCTCAGCGTCCTGGTCTTTTCCCTTGAGAGAGATATATGCGATATACCACCCACCCCAGCTTACTCACTGACCCCGATCATCCCGAAACAGTGCGAGAAACACTCCAAGAAAGAAGAAGCCCTAGAGAAACTCCGCAACGGGGCCAAGTTCGACGAGGTCGCCAGGGAGATGTCGGAGGATAAGGCGCGGCAGGGTATGTTTTTTTTTTTTTTTTTTTTTTTTTTTTTTCGCCCTTCTGAATGGATCCTGTTTGTATTGACAATCGCCAACCCACAAAGGCGGATCCCTGGGATGGAAGGTCCGCGGCAGCTTGAATGGGGACTTTGAGAAGGCGGCGTATGAGCTGGAGCCTAGTACGACGGCGAATCCGAAGTATGTGGAGGTGAAGACGGGGTTCGGGTATCATATTATTATGGTTGAGGGGCGGAAGTAGATTTCTTGTGGTTGGGTTGAGTTGAAGAAGATTTACTTGGTAATCAGAGGGGTGAGAGGGTGGGTGCCATTGCGGTGATGGCAGGCGGAGTGATGATTGGAAGCATAGGTCTATGGAGATGATGATTTCTAAACTTAATATATACAATGATGGGATGGGAACTTTGATGGCGCAGGTGAACACCCCTGACTACTCCTTCTTTGCGGCCGCAGCGGCGGCTCTCGCCTTCTCCTTGGCCTTCTTCTCCTGTCGCTGCACAACCGCCTCTGCGCCGACGCCGCCGAACACCAACAGCACCCCCAGCCACTGGCCCGCCGACAGTGAGTGTCCGAACCAGAACACGCTCAGCAGCATCGTCAGCATCTTGCGCGTCACCGTCACCGTCACCAGCAGCAGCGACGAGAACCGCGAGAGCGTGTAGAAGATGAACAGCTGCCCGACCGCCCCGCACGCCGCGAACCCGAGCACGTTCTTCAGCGCCTCCGGATGGCGCGACAGGAACCCGATCGCGGCCGTCAGCTCCGTCTCCGTGGACGGCGGGATCGGGAACGGCAGGAGGTTGTGCAGGAGGCCCGTCGCCGACAGGTGGGGCATCACTAGCAGGTAGCTGCTGGTCAGGAGCGTCGAGAGCACGTTCTGCGCGACCATCATCTGCGGGCCCGTGAACCGTGTGTAGGTCTGCGGCGAGGTGAAGACGTGGTCCTGGGTGGTGTTGGTGAGGCCGTCCAGCAGCAGGTTGATCGACAGCAAGAAAATCCCCCACGCGCTGGAGCCGGACTGGCCCTTGGCCGCAGAGGCGGCCACCTTCTTGCTCGTGCCCGGGTGGTGCAGCGTGAAGGTCGCGACGCCGAGCGTGACCAGCAGGACCACGCCGTACTTGTAGAGCGGGTAGCGCTTGCGGAAGATGGTCAGGTGGAGGAACATGACCGGGAGCAGTTTGCAGGACTTGGCGAGGATGAAGGTGAGGTAGTCAATGTGCGCGAGACTGGCATACCCGAAGGGGGATGCGAGCGACGAGGAGATGCTGACCAGGAGCAGGGGGAAGAGGATCTTTCGCGTGGGGAAGATGGAGGGGACCTTTTGTCCGGACGGAGTCGAGAAGAAGAGGTACAGGAAACCGGTGATGGCTGCAAAGGTGGATTGGATCGTGTTCAGGACAATCGAGTAGGTGAAGCGCTCGGTGGGCGGTTCCGGTAACTCAGCGCTCGGAGGTTGAACCGGATAGGAGACGGTGGTGATGGCTTCTTGGAGGACGCCCCATGACAGACTTGTGCGCAGCAGTCAGCTTTGGTTTTCCCTCTATACGGATCATCAAAGGCACATACAAAGAAGCATAGATTCCCAAAACGCAGATGGCAAGCTGCATCAGGCCAGGGGTATCTTGCGTCGCATCCTTCGCTCCAGAGACATGATTAGTTGCGACAGCACCTCCATTCTGCTGTTCGAGTGCCTGCGCACTCGATTCATTCGGTGGCACATGCATGAGTTGGGAAGAAGTGGCCCGTTGTAAGGGAGCTGTTTGTTTTTGACGTGCCATTGGCAAAAGGAGGCGCGCGTAGTTGGTCGCTGGTGAACCAATGCGATCAACGAGACGTGTGGAAGGACTGTGACAATAGGACCAGCAAAGTATTGAATTCAAAAATGATAGTCTCCACCCAAGTCGCATAAATCCACAGAGACAAGGACAACTTAGAGAGTGACTCGAAAAGCAAGGGAAAAAGCAAGTGAATGGGGTATCGAGATAACTTTATAAGTGTATGTTTCAGATGATGCCATGTGTTCTGTTCTTTCCTGCAGCTTCTCCCCGTCCGTTCCCAAAAACGCGCCGCGGAACTTCGGCGCGAAACTCATCGCCCTTTTTTCCGCCCCGCCCGAGTCCTTCTCCAACTTTTTAGTCCGATATTCCACTGGGAGTTTCTGCGTGCCAATTTGACCCAGGTACAGATTGAGCCTGGAAGCAATTGTCGCGCAAGCTTTACAATTGATCCTAACCATCCAACCGACCCAATTTCACCACACGTACAGTCCCACACAAACTTCCCTCCGACAATCACCTCATCACCTTTCACCTTGCGATCTCTACACTCTCCATCTTCAACCGCGCGCAACCAAGCACGACATACATCCAACCATGACCTCAACCACCAGCCCCTCCGCCCTAACAACCCTCATCACCTCCACATCACCAACAACATCACCATCACCATCGTCCTCAAACCCCACCACAACCACACCCCCAAGTCCCAACCTCAACCTCAACCCCAACCTCAACCCCAAAACCTCCGCCCTCACCCTGCAAGTCCTCCACAACCTCCAACACCAACACCTCTGGACCTCGCTCCAAGTCCACGAACTTCCTTCCACTGTCCCTGCTGCCGCCGCCGCATCCACCGAATCCGATTCACCCAACCAGATCAACCTCATCTCCGGAATCCCACCGCATCGGCTCTACACCCACCCGGACGAACAATTTTACCTCCTCGAGCGCGGGCTCCGCGAGGAGGACCTCGAGCTCGAACGCATGTTCGTCCTCCCCACCGTGCAGGGCCACACGTGGAGTCTCCGGCGGTTGGCCGGGGTGTTTGATGCGCTTCCGGGGCTAGAGGATTCTGGGGATGTGGGGGAGGAGGAGGATGATGAGGGAGAGGGAGAGGGAGAGGGAGAGGGAGAGGGAGAGGGAGAGGATGATGATAGAACCAACAGCAGCAGCAAGGCGGACAAGTTGAAGGAGTATTACGCGTATCGAAAACAGGCCCGTGTCACGAGGGAGTGGGGTGGGAAGAGGATGCTTCTCGCCATGGTGGATAGGCAGATGGGTGGGGATAGTACGGTGGTCTACTATGTTGTGCAGGATGGCGCGGTGAAGCCGAGACAGAATTGAGACCCGTTCTCTCTGCTGGACAGTGGGAGAAGAGGGGACCCATGCATGGGTTTTCGGGGCCAAATTGGGTTTGCGGCTGGCTGGACAAACCAAGACAGGAGAAAGAACAGGGAGCGGCTTACCACCGTTTTTTTTGCACAGCAGAGAGTCTCGTCCAATTTCATACTATTACAGCCCAGACCCGACCAAAGTTATATACATGCGCTGAGAACGGCAACAAAGATACAACCGTGCTTCCTCTGGAGAGATACAATTGATATGAACAAAACAGATCGCTCTCGCATTGTCGGGTATTGTTTCAGCATGGGAAGAAAAATGAAAAACAGAATTGGTACCACGCAAGCAAGACCGGCCACGAATGTCTAGAGCTCATTGAAAGCATGGCCGTCTTCGATATATGACCGTTCGGCCTGGCAGCTGGAGCAGTACATGCCGTACCATTGCTTGACGTCGCCACTCAGGTTGGCGAACGCATTCGAGCTGGTTCGCTCACCCTCCAATTCGGCATCGTCAAGGTCATCATTCTGACCGAGGAGGATCCCGACCTGGCGACAGCGGCGCAGTTCCTGTCGAAGCCACCGCTCCCACTCATTCTGGATGACTTCTCGTTCGATGCTGTTCACCACTCGAAGAGCCACCAGGAGGTTGTGTCGGTAAGTAGCCAGCCGTTCACGGGTCTGTTGGATCCTGCGAGCTGCGCTCTTGGTCATGGAGTCCCTAAAACCAGCCGACCCTAAGGACAAGGCCGTCCCTGGCTCGCGCAAGGTCTGCTGATGGAACGTCGCGAAGCAATCACTGACGTTGCCGCTTCCGCGCCCCACGGTTATGTTCGCAATGGCCTCGTCGATATCCCTCATATAGATAGCCTTACTCATCACATTATCAGGACCAACTCCAATGCGGGCCATGAAGTTTCCAACACTCCTGTCATCCCACCATTCATGGACAGCCCGTGACGAATAGAACCCATTTATCAGCACGCTCGCCAATAGTAGGGACAAGATCATTGTGTTCGCATTGGTGGTCTTCCATACCCAGCGTAGAAAAGCGCCTGTCCACATAAGGAGGGATGACACGGCACTCTCCAGGAAGGATAAGGACGTCTCGAACAAGAGGTGAGCCATGTTTTTCTGGACGCGAGGCTTGTGTGATTCCAACTTCAAGTCCCCTGAAGGTGAGAACTGCGAGGCGAAATTCTGACGCCCGACATGGCCGAAGATCGTGATGGCCTTTTTCGTTCGACTATGTGCGCCTAGTCTGCGAACCTGGTCACCTACAAGGTCGAGGAGGTCTAACGCGTCCTGTTGCAAGTCACTGCTTGCACTCTTATCCACAATGCCTGAGATAGTTAGCGGTGCCCTAGATGTTCCCAGGAGTATACAGTAACTCACTCTGCAGGCCAAACGGTGACCATAGCCATTCCACTTTCGTGTAGATAGAGAGTTTGCTCTTGCCCTTTGCGACAAAGGTAATCACAACCTTGCTGACCAACCTGAAGGACCGCTTGAATGGGAGGTGCCAGGGAGTGCGTTTGTCCGTGATGACGTAACAAAGGTGGTCATTGAGAACATCAATCATTTGGTAATCTGAGATGGTTTGGCTATGCTTGGCCCCTACTGATTGTTAGACCAGGCGTAACCCGTCCAAGGGACCCAAATACTTACCCAGAATATCGGTGGTCTCAATTGAGTAGTTGAAGTCTCGCCTTAGATGGCTGGACTCGTGTCTGGTCCAGGGCCCTTGTTTGATACCTGTGACGGTCTTAGCAAGCGCCGGACTGGACTCGGCTATGACTTACCCTGAGCATTTCGTTGATGCAGAAGAAGCTGCCACACAGCACTCTTATCCCCGAAGAGGATGTGGAATACTGCCTTAGGACTGATGTCGAACACCTTCTCTGCAGCCAAGTGAAGGTTCCCTTGGGGGACATACTGAACAGGCTGAGTTGGAAGTCGGAACCTCGGAATGTCCTTGCCGTTGCCGTGCTTTTTGTGCATGTTGAGGTCATTGTCAATGTAGATAGGTAGGCGAGAGTCCTTCTTAGAGCCTCCTGTCGGCGCATCGCTGAGGTCGTTCTTGTCGCCCCCAGCGCCCACGTCCTCCCAGCTATCCAAGCTTGGTGTCCGGGTCATGGCCTCTGTCTCCATTCTGATCAAAGTCTTGAAAATGGCTTCCAGCCCCAGAGGTTCGGCGGCCGCCATATTGTGAATAAGGAAGTTAAGTCGCCTCTGAAGGAGCCTGAGTGGCTCCAGGAAGGTCTTAATTGTTCCACGACCTGGTGTGTCGTCGCCAGGAAGAGGTATCAAATGTACAAACAAGAAGTCACAATCTCTACCAGTAGCAGCGGTGATCTCTTTAATGCTTTCCAGAGATATGCTTGTCGTCAGTACCAGACCGAAGTGGTGACTGTAGAAATAGATATTTTGGGTTGTAACATAAGCCCTCCCAGGGAAATCTTGCTGGTCGTTCGGGCTCCATGTGGCCCGGAACACCATAACCAAAGGCTCATCCTTCTTGATATCGGGGAAAAGCAGTCGGAATTGGGCATCATGAATTTTGAGTTGCGGAGGATAGAAGCTAGGGTAGTCATGCGACTCGCCCATGAGCGCTTGCTGTATTTTAGACGAGTCGCCGTCCAAACTCACCGTCGGTCTATGGCGCGACCCGGTCTTCTGTGGTTTGGGCGTGACAGATCCACTCGAAGTGTCGGCTTCTGCGATCAGAAATTGTTTGGAAGGATCTTTCGTTTGAGCTGATGGCTTGTCCGGATCCTGATCGGCCGGCAGTCCCAGTCGCTCAGGCTCGAACCTGTTCAAGAAGCCCCAATTGGAGCTACCCCACAAGTTCGCCATCATGCCGCTGGGCATTCCACCTGTCTTGTCGATTTGACCAAGTCCTATACCCCGTTCATTGCTCACGAACACAGCAGCCTTGCTCATACTGGTCGGAGCAGGAGGGTTGGCCAATGTCATCGGGGCAAGTGTTGTGGGAGAATCATTACCAAGAGTCGAGCTACGGGATCTAGTCCCATCGGGGTCGACGGGTAAAGTACTTCCAGAAGCAATAGCACTATGACTTGCGGTGATGAGACTAGCAATCCCGCCTGCGACTCCGGGGATAGATGTCGAGGACTGCACTGTATTATTATTCGATTTGCGGTGAAGATCCAGCTTCTGCATGAGACGTGAAGTGTGTTCGCGAGCAGGGCTGTCAGAGTCCAGTGTCGTCAACCTCCGGTAGCTGCTGAAGTCGCTACTGTTGCGAAGAGCAGACGGGTCCTTCTCTGGCAGTGAGAGCATCCCACTACGATCGGACGAGCCCTGCTCATCGCTTGTATGAGGGGTGAGAGAGTCGGCAGGATCAGCCGCGAATTCCGGCGCCGGGGGCTGAGAAATTGCAAAAGCAGGATCCTGAACGGTGACTTTGCCGGACACTGAGAGGTCGGTGCTCGAAGGATTTTCCAGAGCCTTGCGCTTAGCGGCCTCAAATGCAGCAATCCAATCCATCAGGTCTTTCTGCGTCTCAGCCTGGAGCATAATGGTGTTACTCTTCGTCTTGACCTCGAAACAGAACCTTCGGTCTTCTTGGAAAGCCGGTCGGATGCTGCAGAGTAGGACACCAATTCGTTCGCTCTCCTCAACACCACCGGTGCGAGTGCCCTGGACGAGACAGCCAAAGATACCGTGTTTCAGAAAAGACCAGCGCCTAACCCAGACAGTGCGTGTAGGTTTACCCGAGAGAGTTCGAAGATATAACCATCCTTGCTTCTCAGGTCTTGCCTCTTTCGACATGCTATTGATCGACAGAGGACGCGAGCCAAGATATGGGACTGTGGATACAGAGTAATCATCTAACTCCCGGGACGGTCTAGCTGCAATCTCCGCAGCCTCCTCGATCTGCTTTCTAGAAGCTAGAAGTTCCCGCTTGGCAGATTTCTCATTTCCATCCATTTCGTGCACCCAACCCTTGATGCGGTCCATTTCGTGAGCCCACTTTGCGAATGAGCTACCATTGTTGGTATGGAAGGTCTTCAGTTCTCGCCACTGATCAAAGGAGACGCGAACCAACAATCTGTCAAGCGCATTCCGCAGCTGAGGGGCTTGGATGGAGAAATCCATCGATGCTTTGAGATAGGCTTTGCGGGCTTCATGGAGCTGGAAGGCATCTTCCCTTAGCGCCGAGGGCTCTTTGGATTTGGACTGTGACGAATACCGGGCCAGCAAGTAGTCGTACTGTTTCTGTGTCTCGCCGAGCGTGCGCCGGTTCTCCTTGAGCGGGGTCAGAAACCGATCCTTAATTTAGGGGGGCCCCATATTTGTTACCTTGAAGTTCCGCAGGTCCTCCTGGATGAATGCCCTTATGGGTTCAGAGACGAAAGATTCCAACTTTTTGACAGTAGACACCAATCCATTCCACATGTCCTTTGAGCTGTCACCACATCTCCGCATCGACTGTAGAGTGTAATCATGGTCCAAGACGGCTTCGGAGACCAGTAAAGGATTCGTGGAGTAGGACAGGAAGACGCTAACGGCGCCTTCTATGGCCGCAAGTTCTGTGGCGAGCTTGGAGGTGGCTTTCGCATAGCCGTCAAGCCATCTCTCAAGGAATTCGATCTGGTCGGAGAAGTGAAGGGCGGCGGCACGGAACGTGGGGGAATCGAGTGCGGCCTCCTTTAAGCCGACCGGACTTGAATAGAAAGGAAGTGTTAGATGGTACACATCTTGGGGCATTGAAGTGCATTAGATTGAATGGCAGCGCGTCGGATACTCACACCACACTGACAAGCTTCCCAACCTGGGGTAATGGGATCTGCGGCTGAGTCGACATCTAGTGTATGTCACCAGCCATACACCGATGCGAGCAAGAATAACGTGGAGAATTGACAGAGGTTTTGTCCCAAGTCACCATGGGTATCAAATCAAGCAAGTAACATCCAAAGAATATGAGGAGAATAGCAGCAAGGGATAGGAGGGGGTTATGTCGCAGTGGAGGGGGAGGAG